AACAGTAGGACAGAAACATGTAACCCTATTCTTACCACAATTTCTATGGCTTAGGATGCTGCTAACCTATATACTTACATAACTCTTATCTGCACGGGTAGGGGTAAAAGTGTGCATGCTATGACTTTTCACAGAGTGCCATTCAACATAGTATTTTGTATCTTGGAGTCAGAGTTACCAATTTTACTCTACATTGTTGATTTAGTGACAGTTCATAGCAGAGGAGAGTAAATACCAGATACAATGTGTAGGGATTCTGAAAGAAAATGCAAATATGCATTTTTGAGGTTCTAGAGGTTATGCAAATGCAATATGCAAAGTGTATGATGGACAGAAGTATTTTTATCATCACATGAAAATCACCTTGCACTCTGACTTGTTAAAGTATCAGCCAGACTTACGTTGGCAATTCACAGATAAATCTTTAGTACAAATACATCTGTAAGACATTTGATATTTTGTTTACAATGGACTTGTACTGTTGACTGACATCTTGCCTCATTTTGTGCAAATATGCTTAGTAAATTAGAAACCATAGTATCATTCATTCTCTAGGATGGGGCTGGTCCAATGGACCGACCCCATGCACATTTGGTTAATATGCAGCATTGTGAAAATTAAGAGCAAAAATAAGTAAAAAATTAATGAAATTTTCCATAGTTTAGCTTTGTCTCTAAAGATGCGTATGTACATAATGTTTTTGTTACGTTATGACTTTGGTTAATTGTGAAATAAATCAATGGATGTGCTTGAGGTTATAATGGCTAAGCAGGTACACATAGTTTAACTAAAAATCTGATGAATTCGTTAAATATGACATTAATTAGGTTTAGTCTCCAACAGCATGCCCTGAGGGCTGTAGCTTCTGATGTGAAATTGGTTACCATAAGAAAGCCAAACATCCCTTCAGTGTTAGTTTATTCGGTATTACATAACTAACACTAATGAAAGATGTGGAACTTGAGGTGAACTGAATTGCCCCAAATAACACCCCAAATTTCATAGTTCACAATTACCCCAGGTGTTAGCTTCCATGGGTGTTTTATCCCCTTGTGGTTCAGCAGTTAGTTTGATGACATAAAATGCTAAAATAAGGGTTTGATACCCACGGTGGGCAGAGCATAGACAGCCCATTGTGTATTTTTGTGTTTAACAACGAACAAACTTTGAGTGTTATTAATACAGTTATATGAATGTAGTCTGACGTCATGTACATGATTCTGATGTTGATTTAACAAAATAAGTATCACTTGTGGTGTGTGGTTCAATCTAGTGGCTAGGTTGGAAAAAAGAACAAAATGCAATGTTTCACTGCTATGCTGATAAAAAGTTTAAATAGTTATTAATATTGGACTAGCAAATGTAGACTTTTAAAGAGTTGTAAAATGTATTTTTTACTCTGTTATATTTAATATATTCACCACTCTTTTGTTGTAAATTACTGATGTGTGTGCGTGTGTGTGTGTGTGTTTATATTTTTTTACTCTTACTCACACAAAAAAATGTATCACAGTTTTAAGAGAAGCTCACCTCAAGAAACGGAAGTGGATTTTTGGGATTATAACAAGTATAGTCCACAGGTGATTCATTCCAGTCGATTTCCACACCTGTCTGTTGTGAAAAGTTTCATTAAAAATTTTCAAATAGTTTAGTTATTTTCAAGCTTACGGTCCTTATTAATGAAATAATAAAATAATAATCTCTAATAAAATTTAGAGAGAGATTTTATTAAATAAAAATATCTTTAACACTTTTCTTAAGCAAAAGATGATAATAATGAAGAAATCGATGATAATTCTATTCTTTGTAAAAGGAAAAATCCACTTTTGTTTCTTGAGGCTCATGAGTGGCTGTTACACATCGTGATCAATTTGTATCTATGAAAATCAATGTAGCCATCATTACAGCCATAGCCAATTAACCATTCTATTCTTACATATCTACTCCTAAGGATTAGAAGATTATAGCATAGCTAATTAAACATTCTGTCCTTACATATCTACTCCTAAGGATTAGAAGATTATAGCCATAGCTAATTAACCATTCTATTCTTACATATCTACTCCTAAAGATTGCAAGATTATAGCCATAGCTAATGAACCATTCTATTCTTACATATCTACTACTAAAGATTAGAAAATTATAGCCATAGCTAATTAACCATTCTATTCTTACATATCTACTACTAAAGATTAGAAGATTATAGCCATAGCTAATTAACCATTCTATTCTTACATATCTACTACTAAAGATTGGAAGATTATATCCATAGTTAATTAACCATTCTATTCTTACATATCTACTACTAAAGATTAGAAGATTATAGTCATGGCTAATTAACCATTCTATTCTTACATATCTACTACTAAAGATTAGAAGATTATAGTCATGGCTAATTAGCCATTCTATTCTTACATATCTACTCCTAAAGATTGGAAGATTATAGCCATAGCTAATTAACCATTCTATTCTTACATATCTACTACTAAGGATTAGAAGATTATAGCCATAGCTAATTAACTATTCTATTTTTACATATCTACTACTAAGGATTAGAAGATTGTAGCCATAGCTAATTAACTATTCTATTCTTACATATCTACTCCTAAAGATTCGAAGATTATAGCCATAGCTAATTAACCATTCTATTCTTACATATCTACTCCTAAGGATTAGAAGATTATAGCATAGCTAATTAACCATTCTATCCTTACATATCTACTTCTAAAGATTGGAAGATTATAGCCATAGCTAATTAACCATTCTATCCTTACATATCTACGTCTAAAGATTGGAAGATTATAGCCATAGCTAATTAACCATTCTATTCTTACATATCTACTCCTAAAGATTGGAAGATTATAGCCGTAGCTAATAGAATGGTTAAAGTAGATATGTAAGAAATAGCTAATTATCCATTCTATTCTTACATATCTACTCCTAAAGATTGGAAGATTATAGCCATAGCTAATTAGCCATTCTATTCTTACATATCTACTCCTAAAGATTGGAAGATTATAGCCATAGCTAATTATCCATTCTATTCTTACATATCTACTCCTAAAGATAATAATGCATTGTTTCATCAGTTGGGTACCCTCAATGTTAATGATATTTTCAGCTGTAAAGTCAATAATGTCTCATAAAGTTTGGACAGCTTGGGATATTTAGGTTAGTCCTAAATACAAAATCTAAGCTAACAATGCCAATCAATCTTTTATGATTAAAAGTATAATAATGGACAACAACTTAAAATGAAATAAAAGTGAATACTTTTGATATAGTAACTAGTATTATCAATTTCATTAATTAAGGGAGGAATAAATAAATAAAATAACCTACCTTGCATGTTCACATAAAAGCTGCACTTCATTTTCTTACGATGAGCCTCTGTTAAAACTTGTGATGTGTATATCTGGTTTCATTCTCCAGTTGCTTGAGATATTCAACGATTGAACAGAAGTGTTGTTGAAGTAACTTGTATAAACGTGACTTGTGTAACTTTTTCAGATGGAGATCCTTCTTGATTATGTTTCACACTGTTGACACTAGCCTTCGTGTTTGTAGAGTCTTACAAAACACTACACTTTGCTTATAATAAGTTGTCTTGTTGCAGTCTTGTTTCTGGTTCCCCAAGTTCATCCATATTCCTATAAATTTTTCAGATGCTATTAAGTATAAGGAATATCTCCTTAATTTTAAACACATCTTTTATGGTCTGAGGGTTTATATAATGTGCTTCAGAAAAGGCTTTTACATACCCTTTCCAAAAGTGATCAGTTTTTGGTGGTATCACACTATTTACAAAATGTTAGAGAATACCAAAATGTAGCCTTGAAATATGTTATTCCACAGTGCCTTTATGTCATATGTGATTGTAACCTGACTTGCTGACTTGCATATTCAAAGTTGTTTTAATATAACATACTCAATCCTCTGTATATCATAATATAGCCTTCTGCAGCACTATATACTGCAATACTAAAATTTTGGCAATACTCAGTACATTGTTGCTGTTAAAAATGTTTATAATCACTTATCAGGTAGAACTAACTGTGTAGAAAGATAGCTACATGCTTGTTAATGTTTTAAACACTACAGATAGTTCACCTTTTGATTTTGATCTTCTAATTCTGTTTTGTGATTTAACAGTCCTTATAAAAAAAAGTAACATATACTGTACAAATTGTACTACATCTATTATTGAACCGTATGTTCAGCTAGATAAAAACTATTTGTTATATGTCACAGTTTTAATTATATACATATTTAATTTGTCATATGTCACAGTTTTAATTATATACATATTTAAAGTTAGTTTGTTAACAAGCGAAGAAAAAACTGGCAAATATCGCAAGTGAAGATTATTTTGGAATAACAAAAATGCACCATATGTCTTTACAGAATGTTCTACCAGTGGAAAAATGTGAAGATGTTCCATCTAATTATATTGTGAGTAAAATCAAAAATATGATTTTTAATTGAAAAAGTTGTTTTCTTAATGTTATGTGTACTGGTATAATAAAAAAAATTAAACATTTGTGATTTTAATAAGAGTTGTTTAAATGACAGTTTAGGAGCACCTATAGAGTTTACATATATCTTGTAGTGGTGTTTTTAAGCAGTGTTTTCTGTATATTAATTATTTGGTGATAAGAGTGCTCTGTGTGCTTTTCCATATTAAGGTATTTGATATTTATGTATTGTACATAAACATTAGGGTGTAAAGCATATTGTATTAGAATTACAGTGTATGTGACTGTAATATTACATCATAATGATCTCTACTTGCCTAGTACAAGTTTCTGGTATAACAACATTTTGTTTTGTCCCTGTCCTTATCCATTCCAATGATCCACTGTGGGTATAAGTACCACCCATACTTTCCTTATTGCCTTAATCCTTGAGTACTTCTTAATTCCTTTGATGTTTAATTGTGTCTTCTTATTCTGCAGTAGATGTGTCATTAGTTTTTTCTAACTTTGTCTTCATTTTGCAGCCTTCACACTTAACAAGGCAATAAAGCAGACTTCTATGGTGAATGTAGATAGTTTTTTACAGTTTTCTTAGTGAAAATTAATTTTTATGTTTAAAAGATCATAATCCGACCACACTGTGTTGTTGAAATTTACCTTAGTGGCTAAAACTGTTACTTCATGATGGTTCTCAAGCTTTAAACAAATAGAACAGCTGATATTTTAATCAAGGTATGAAGTACTTTGTGATATCTACAAACGTTACAAAGATTAACAACTTTATCAGCACAAATTAAGTAAAGAAAAACAACACAAGTTTACAAAAAATTTAATGATCCGACCAGTTTCAGTGTACCATGTACATCGTTTCCAAAAGTATACATGGTAATTTACTCTATATGTTTGTGAATTTATGTTGTTTTCCTTACTTAATTTGTGCCAATAAAGCTGTTAATCTGTCTAACAGCTGACATTTTAATCACATTGAACTTTTAGTGTAACAAAGAACAAGCTAGTTATAGTTTTTTTACCTCCAAAACACACACACACCAACATGAAGCACATCTTAACAAACAACTTAACAATAAGAAATCAAACAAACCTCAGTAAACTGTTAGCATAGAAAAAGAAATTAATCAAAAATGGAGTCCTGTTGGTAAAATGAATGTATGGTCCCTCGCTGTGAAGTAAAATGTTTAAGCCGTTTAAGTATGAATCTGATTTAAATGTGAAAAATAATTCTCCACGTTTAAAGGCATGACCATGAAACTTTCAAAATACCCATCTGCATGTCTTCAAATCACTTTATGTTAAATTATTTGAAACTTTAAATTTACATTATGGAATCGTTATGATAACAGAGCACTGAAGCCAATAACTACCAGTTACACTATATTATCACCCAGTAATTATAGACCTATTAATATTAGTCTTACATCAGTTGTGGGAAAAGTTTTGGAAAGTCTGATAAAAGATGCTTTGCAAAGCCATTTAACAAAGTTTAGAATTTTATTGGATAGTCGACATTGTTTCACAAAGGGAAAATCTTGCCTTACAAATATTTTAACATTCTTTGAAAAGGATGCTGCTTATGTAGATGAGGGTAATGGTGTAGATTTGGTGTATCTGGATTTTCAGAAAGCACTTTACAAGGTACCATATAAAAGGCTTGTAAAATAATTATCTTTATAGGTGTGGGGGATAAGTTAGCTAATTGGATAGAAGAGTGGTTGGATGGAAGAAACAGAGGGTTGTTACAAACTGATTTCAGTCAAACTGGACTAATGTTACAAGTGGGGTACCTTAGGACCTTTGCTCTTTTTGATTTACATCAATGACATAGATGAAAGAATGGTCAATAAATTACTTAAATTTGCAGGTGATATTAAAGTCTTTGGTGTTGCTGGCTGTTAAGAGGATGCTGCTGATTTACAAAAGGATTTAGGTCATTTGGTGAGTTGGGTGAATAAATGGCAGATGGGTTTTAATTATAATAAATGCAAGATAATACATGTGGGTTCTTATAATTTGGATAGAAATATAATGAGAAGGGGCAGCCCAAAGTTATACAGAATAGTTTTGTTCAAATACAGCCAGATGTAAGGTATAGAGCTGGCTGTTAATTATAATATAGCCCTAAAAAGCTTCTATTATTGCCAATAGGGCTGTAGTTATCCCACTTATTTTCAACTTAAAAGACACAAGTGCATTATTAAACCTTATTTTTGAATGGAGTGAGGTTTGATAAGTTATATTTGTGTATGGATCTCTATATTTAACCACCTGATGACTCATGTAATGGCTGTAGTTAGGGGTAGAATGAATGTATGCCTACTTTGGAACTATTTGCACAATCAACTGTGCATTTTTTAACTAATCACTAATAGTCAGTAATATATCTACAAAAAAGGCTATAAACAGAACTGACTTTTATTCATTTAATGACATGTAAAAGTTAATGCTGAAATAATTAGATCCCAAAATTTGGTAATTGGTGGAACTGTACTGTACGAGTCTGATCGATTATAATTCAAAGTTTTGTTTATTATATACTAAGAGTTTATAATTGATTGTCCAACATGAGATTGATGTAGCCTATGGTTGTCTACAGTTATTATGATACAACTGTATTATGTGAAGAAATTCAGTCTTCACAGAATTGAATTCATCACTTTTTTCCATAAGCCACATTGACCAAAACAAGAAATTGATTGCAAATATTTAGTTTAAACCATGCATAAGTTATCACAATGACATGACCTGTTTTTCACCATGACTTGACCCATTTCTCCCCATGACATGACCTGTTCCTAACCATAACATGGATTATTACTTGAGGTTGGGTTTGAAACACGTGCTATTAAAGCTTTAAAGTATGTTGATAGAAATGTGATGAGCACAAGTATTTGAAGTAAGTGAAGAATTTTCTCTCTCTCTTTTCAAAATCTGAACTTATATTTATTTATTTAGTATGTATTAACTTGGAATAATATTTTCACATACACTCAGAGAAAAATATATGTTTACATGAGAGAACTATCTTTACTGAAACAAATATTGTGATCCTGAATGTATAGTTTTAGTTGTGGTTGTCAAGAATAAACTTATAATATGTATTAATTGTTTCTTTCATTAAGCCTGTCCACTTATGCATGAAGACAAAGATTGTCTATAACACCACTATACCAACTCAGTAAGTAATACTGTTATAATCAAAGCTATAAAATTTCTTTAAAACAATAACAGATGTGTTGCTGATGTTTCTTTTAAATGTCAGTGTGAATATTGTTTAGTGGAAACAAAAAGAGTTTTAGTTAACCCATTAATGGCAAGAACTATTTTTTCTTTATATATATAAATTTTTTGTCTTTAGCTTTAGAGACGTCATATAAATATGAAAACACTATCTGACAAATAAATTAATTTTTGTAGCGATCCTCTAAGGGAGCAAACAGGGAATTGAGCACTGTGATGCCAAGTCAGTTATGTATATATATCAACAAAGCCTAAGTGTGCAGTGGTTGATGAAATTATAAGTCTTAATTTTCCTACATTTCCATGTAAAACACAATATCAGTGTAATATGAAAAGCTGAAAATAACTCACTTATGGTACTTAATTTGTAATTTAAACTTGTGTCCTAAAAGTGGGACTTTGCACCTTATTGGGTTAAATAAAATGAAATACAATTGGTGAAAACATCCAAACTCAGCTGTTAGCTGAAGTGGAATGGCAGAATAAATTTCTTATGTAATGGACCACCACAAGTTAAGTGAAGAATCTATACCACATTGAAAACTTCTGAAAAACAATAGACGTAATACCAAGTTTTTCTGAAAAAGATCTTGAATTATGCTTTAAAATGAAGTATGTAATGTGTAGATTAGTAAATAATGCATTACAAAAAATATCACTGATAAGTTTGGTTTAATCTTTGTGGTGTAACTTACAGTTAACTTGTAAACTAACTGTAGCTTACTGATTTATGTGAGATATGATTTAAACACATTGATTTATTTAAGCTTATTATCCCATAATTAACTGTTTTGTACAATCTTTAAATTGTATGAATACTGGACCTAAGTGTAGAATGACTGATTTACTAATATTGTTAAGCAATTCTACTGTGGGCTAATTGCACTTTACACAATAATTTGTATATGCTAATGTGGTTTGCCATCACAGATATCAGCCATGTAGTTACAGATAATATGTTTAGCACCAGTATACCCTGTTCACTGCAAATCCCTTATCATTCAACAGTGTAATGATTTGATGGTCACTTACGACTGAAGGAAGTTAACACAGACTTTTCTAAGAAAGGATATTGATATAGTGAAATAGAATAACTTCAATGTCACACATCAGTATCCATAACGCATTTAGTAGCCGCAACAAAGATGATCAGCACATCTAAATGAGGATGTAAAAACTGGTTGCATCCCACCACATGAACCTCCATTTTAAAGTTAAAGATTTTACATCCTCATTTAGATGTGCTGATCACATGTGGTGGGATGCAGACGGGAACCTCCATTTTAAAGTTAAAGATGATCAGCACATCTAAATGAGGATGTAAAACCATCTGCATCCCACCACATGAACCTCCATTTTAAAGTTTGTAGATTGGTTTATTCAGGAATCCCTGCCTAGAAAGTGAATGCTAACAAGTTGTGTACATCCCAGTTAACTGTGCACACATGTATACAAATATCTTTCTATTGTAAAGAAACATAAACCACACATGCACTGTTGGCACTCTGGACTTATTGGTGAGAGCATGGGGGTCTGCAGAAATATTTTCAGGGGTGGTGGCAGGGTGTGTGTGTGCAAAATAGTGTGAAGTGAATAAATAAACTTGTAAATTCATACACATATATTGAATGAATAAAGAAAGAATTATGCTTCTCGTTTTCGTTGTGGGGGTGCCCCCCCCCCTCATCAGTGGGTGCCCAAGGGTGAGAGAAGGCCAAACTGCATAACTGTACTAAAAGTGTGTTGCACATGAGAGGTAGAAGTTGGGTGTATTTACCGTAAATCAGTTAAAATTCATTGAAATGCTAGTTATTAAAATTCAGAGACTGAATAATCGATATTGTATTTGAAATGAAATCAATTTTTATAGCTTTTATAATGTTTCATCTAATTGATTTTTTAGTGAAGTATGTGTTTGTGTCAGTGTATGTATTTTATTTCCATTCTGTTGTGTAGACAAATATTTGAAATTCATCTGAACTCGAAAATATATGTAAATTTACTAAAATGTATTGCAGAATAAAAATGTTTTCTTTTCATGCTTTGTCAGCGGTGATCACCGACCACTATGGCCTGTGTACGGGGATTATCAGTATGTTCCACCCCAGCGATGGCTGCATACTGTAGAGGTATTCATGTTGTATTTTATACCTACTTACACTTCAGTTAATACAATTAATCACCAACATATGTTCCTAAAAAAATTATAATGGTTTTGAATTGTTTAAAATAATGTTCTTAGAATTAGTATGTTGAAATGTGTTTGTATCTCGCGGAGGGAAGTCCATTGAAAAAAATGGGGATTTTTTATGTTATCATCATGTTTAGTACATCAAAGTAAATATAATACACAGAAGTTGATTGATTATATTACCTCAGAGTTTTGGCATTAAGAATAGTGTAATTACATACTGATATTCAGCTGTAAGATACAATATACAAATATCTTGGTCGTATTCCCCCGAGACCCAGAAAATAATTTACGGTTATATGTAGTTATGTGTCATGTTTACAAAAAAACAACTAAAAATGATGTACTTGAAATAGAGTTTTTTTATAGATGAAGAAAAATTAAATACAAAAGATGTGTTATTAAATAAGCATTGTAGTTCCTGGCCTTTTACCAAAATTTTACAAGTGCAAAGATTTTTTACCTGTTTGCCATGCAAGCACGATAGTAATATTTGCCTCAATCCAATACAGGGGTATTGTTTCAACCAGTGTTTTTTATTTGAGCAGTCGATTTCAAGGAAATAACTGTGTATTGTTCTACCTACTAAATAGAATAACAACAACTTTCTTGTCTGTTTTTTTTACAGCATGGAGGGGTGGTGATGCTCTACCACCCCTGTACTCACCCCATAATTGTTAAACAGCTGAAATCTCTGGTCACAAGATGTATCCGTAAACATGTCATTACCCCACACAGATTGTTACCCTTGGAGAGGGTGAGTTGAAGATTAGAAAATTGTATATTGAAATGCATACATGTTCACTACTCTCTTTAGATTTATCTGTAAACAGCAAACTGTTAGATTTTATACACAGTAGGTTTAACAAACAAGATAATTAAGAAATTGTCATATTAAAGTTGAAATATTTTACTAGGGTGACAGTAAGTTAAACATGTTTCATAGTCTGTTCTAGTTTTGAGCAAGTACATGAACCTGTACACTTATAGGTGTGGGGAAAAAAAAGAAAATTTTAATCTTTAGGTTAATGAGAAATATTCACTTATCTTAACTTAAAGATAAAAGAGAGAGAAACATTAAATTGATTTCATATATTTTAGTCTTTTCATTTGTCTGCATGGCCAGGTGGTTAAAGTGCTTTACTTACAATCTGTGGGTTGCGGGTTCAAATCCCTGTCCAACCAAAAATGCTCCTCCTTTCAGCTGTGGGTGTGTTATAATGTGTTGGTAAATCGCACTATTCATTAGTAAAAGAGTAGTCCAGGAGTTGGCAGTGGGTGGTGATGATTAGCTGCTTTCCCTGTAGTCCTTCATTGCTAAATTATGGACAGCTAGTGCAGATGGCCCTCCTGTAGCTTAGTACAAAATTCAACAAACCAATCCATTTGCCATCAGGATTTTTTTGGCCAGTCATATATCGAAACTTTAAAATCTAAAAAAAAATAAAAAATTATGTATTGTCTTTGAGTCTGGTTTAAGGTGTTCATACCCCTTATGAAACACTACACAGCAAAATATTTAGATAGGACAAAAAACACAATCAGTCAACAATGATAAAATTCAATTCATATTATGGAAACGCCTTTTACTAAATATAATCATGGCAATAATAATATAATACAATATTGATTCATCAGTCAACCCTTTAACAAAGATACAGTTTAATTTGATGTTACATTCCATAATAACTTTTAAACAAAGTTACTTGAAAACCTGCAAACACAATACAGCATCTTTTAATGGTGAAATTATTTCAGTGTTTGAATTCAATATAATAACATCATGTCAAGAAAATAATCTTCGACCTTTAACACTGAAAATTGTAGTTATAATGACATCAACAAGCTTAGATGAAGTTTCAGCTCTTGTTGCATAGTCAGAAATCCAGAAAAATTGTGATAGTTATGAGATATTGTCAGCTTTTTTTTGCACATTATTATTCTGTGTTGTTTGGTGCATTATTTAATTAAATAA